ATGTGTATTTATCACAACCTATGGGATAAAAGACAACAGAGGTGGGCTTACATTATCCTTCGCAACCTAGGGGATGAATAATATAACCTTGAAGATCCGCATATCTATCGCAACCTAGGGGATAGATAATTGAAACAAGCTTGAAACCAGAATTTGGAACTTGGAATGACGATGTTGGTTGTGTCAACCCTCAACCAAGATTCGATAACCAAATGAAATATGCTAGATTTGAAGCGATGGAACCCAAAATCCAACTGATGAGGTTAGTTGTGTCGTCTCAACCATAACCATCAACATGAAGAAAAATACCCCAAATTCATGATGATGTTGGTCGCATCGTCTCAACCATTATCAACATGAAGAAAATGAATCCCAAATTCATGATGATATTGGTCGTATCGTCTCAACCATTATCAACATGAATAAAAATAAACCCAAAATTCATGATGATATTGGTCGCGTCGTCTCAACCATTATCAACATGAAGAAAATAAACCCCAAATTCCTGATGATATTGGTCGCGTCGTCTCACCCATTATCAACATGAAGAAAATGAACCCCAAACTCATGATGATATTAGTCGTGTCGTCTTAACCATTATCAACATGAAGAAAATAAACCCCAAATTCATGATGATATTGGTCGTGTCGTCTCAACCATTGTCAACATGAAGAAATGAAACCTAAATTCATGATGATATTGGTCGTGTCATCTCAACCATTATCAACATGAAGAAAATAAACCCCAAATTCATGATAATATGGTCGCGTCGTCTCAACCATTATCAGCATGAAGAAAATGAACCCCAAATTCATGATGATATTGGTTGTGTCGTCTCAACCATTATCAACATGAAGAAAATAAACCCCAAATTCATGATGATATTGGTCGCGTCATCTCAACCATTATCAACATGAAGAAAATAAACCCCAAATTCGTGATGATATTGGTCGCGTCGTCTCAACCATTATCAACATGAAGAAAATAAACCCTAAATTCATGATGATATTGGTCGTGTCGTCTCAACCATTATCAACACGAAGAAAATGAACCCCAAATTCATGATGATATTGATAGTGTCATCACAACCATTAACAACATGAAGAAAATAAACCCCAAATTCATGATGATATTGGTCGCGTCGTCTCAACCATTATCAACATGATAAGTGAACTTTCTTCATATTTTTTCATTTTTATTCTCTTTGCTCTCTCTCTATAATCAGACCCTCTCTCTCTCAACCAAATGCTCTCACCTCTCTCTACAACTACCACCACCCACCACCAGCCGAAAATCGCTTATGTTGATGGTTAAATATTAGCCACCCCAAAACCATTGTACAACCCAGTTTCCCGGTTGAACTTCAACCGAAAACTGCAACCCAAACCCAGAAATACAAGAAATCTAAGAAGAAAAGAACCCTAGATGTTCAAACATTAACCCTAACCTGAACTATAGGTATCCCCATCGGGAGTGGCCTTTAATGCCGCCTAAATAATGAAGGTCTGCTGGGACCTCATCTAATTTCCAGAAACCTAAGAACCCTAACAGTATTTAACTTAACCCTTGGAACCCTAGTATAAATGATGAACCCTAAACCTAACTTTTGAAGAACCCTAACCCTAATCTAACCCTAATCCCCCAAAATTTCCAGAATCCACAAAAGTCAACCATGATCACACAACAAAAACAATTGCAATAATTTTATAAAAGCTATGTGATTTACCTCGCCTTGCCGTGAATATTTTCGTAAATTTCTTTATACTTTCCTCCGACCTCTCTAATCTCCTTCTCTATTTGCTCTTCGCAGGTACCAAGACTTGAAGGGATCGCAACAAGGAGGCATGGATTCTCCAATTCTTCTTCTCCAACTTCTTCTTCCATTTCTCAGTCCCTTTCTTTTTATTAGTTCTAGGTTTATATAATTTTTAGGTTTAGATTAATTAGGAAATAGATTTATGTTAAGTTGTTGTTACAAATAAATTAGGATAGATTAATTCTGATTAGATATTTGATTTGTAAATCAGAGTATATTTGATTAGAAATTAGGAATTAGGGTTTGATCTGTAATGTATCTGGACTAATTTGTATATAGATTCAAAAATCAATAAAATTTCTTTCAATCTTTGATTTAATTCAATTTTTGGTTGGCAACTCTGGATATTGGGCTTTTTGTTAATTCAGTGAACACAAACATGTTCTGGGCACAACTTGCTAAGGGTTTGAAAACCCTAGCTGACTTAGTCAACTTTGTTTCACAATTTTGGACATTAATTTAAAAATAAAATAAATAATAATAATGGTAATAAAAACGAATACTAATAAAAATAAACAATATAAAAATGTTGACCCTCATATCAACTTGAACAAATATAAAATGATGATTTTATTAATTTTAACAATTTCTCTAATAATAAATAAAATAGTAGAAAAATAATTAGATATTTCCAAAATAATAAATTAAATTATAAAAAATATTTAATTACATACAATATATATATATATATATATATATATATATATATATATATATATATATATATATATATATATATATATATATATATATATATATATATATATATATATATATATATATATATATATATATATATATATATATATATATATATATATATATATATATATATATATATATATATATATATATATATATATATATATATATATATATATATATATTATATATATATATATATATATATATATATATGAATTTCCAACCAAATTCAGTGAGACCAAAAATAAATAAGATAGGGATACATATGTTTTCAAAATTAGTGTAAAACACTGAAAATATGTTACAAAAATTAGTATAAGTAATTCAAAAAAATAGTGAAAAATTAAAATTAAATGTAGCACCAAGGTGGGTAAAATTGGGGTGTGACAAAAATAATCAGAATTGTTGTGTCTACTGAAACATACAGAGGATGGAAGATACACCGTTTGAATGTAAAGTTATCATTTCGAAATGGTCCTTTGGAAGAATAAATCCATGTCAATCAACCACAAGGATTCGAAATCAAAGGGTAAGAGTCAGAGATGTACATATTGAGGAAGGATCTATATGATTTTAAGCAAGCCCCAAAGGATTGAAGTAAGAGAATAAATATCTTCCCGATCGAAGCAGATTTCATAAAGTGTGTCTCTGAATGTTGAGTGTATATCAATGATGTAGATCGGGTCAGTCGAATCATTTTATGCTTGTATATGGATAATTTGTTGATCACATGTGCAGATGAAGAAGAGATATGAAGAGTCAAGTCGAAGATAATGCATGAGTTTGAAATGTCCGACCTAGGGAACTTATCATATTTCTTAGGAATGAGTTCAAAGACACATTTGAAGGAGTGTTCTTGCACCATTAAGAAGTATGCCCAATATATCTTGAAGAGGTTCAAGATGAGAAATTGTATTGCAGCTGCCACACCATTAGAAACTAGAGCAAAATTGAAGAAGGATACAAATGATGAACTTATAAGCGCAACATTGTACAAGTAAATTATTGAATCCTTGAGGTATCTATTCAATACAAGACCAGACATTTGTCAAAGTGTAAGATTGTTGAGCAGTTTCATGGAGAAGCCATGTGAGTGTCATCTCACAACAGTTAAGAGGTTGTTGAGATACATAAAGGGTATGATTGATCATGGTGCATTGATGCCAAGACAAAATAAGACCAACACAAATGCAGAGGTACATGATTATACTGATTCCTACTTTAGTGGAGATCAAGATGAGAAAAAGAGTACTACATGCTACATATTAATGATAGGAGGCACTTTAATCTCTTGGAGCTCAAGGAAGCAAAGCATTATGGCTTTGTCATCCCATAAAGTCGAGTACGTGACTGCATCATATGCAACATGTCAAGCAGTATGGTTAGAGATGTTGATAAAAGAGCTCAAGATCATGAAACCTAAGAAAATGAAGTTGTTTGTAGATAACAAGTCAACTATTGACCTAACTAATCACCCTATGTGTCATGGTCGAAGTAAACACATAGAGAGGATGTATCTTTTTCCCAGGAATCAAGTAAATAAATGGACGTTTAAACTTGAGTATTGCAAGACATAATGACAAGTAGATGGTATAATCACCAAAACCTTGAAGAAAGTCAAGTTCGATGAGTTGGTGAAAAACATTGGGTTGAGAAGTCTCGAAAATATGAATTAAGTGGTGTGTTAGTTGCAATTCATTATTTTGTAGAAAAATAACTATCTGACATAAGTGTGTTCGACCCAGTCGAAGTAGTAGAAGTCAGTTGTATTTGATAGATTCGAATACAACATATAGTTGTTATATCGAAGCCAAAATATAACTTTGCATGGTTTGAACTTGGATTGTATGTTATGGACTTGGGCCTTGATCGCCTATAAATAGACATGACGATGTATAGTTTATACACTTAACATTTTTAACATCTTCACAATTTAAAATATAGTTTTTCTAATTCTCTTCTTTTTTCTCTTCAATCTTCTTCCTCATGTTTCTTAAAAAATCTAATTGTTCCAACAATTATTAGTACTTCTTTGAATTTTTTGAATTTTTTCTTTTGTAATTTATGAAAAACATTATTGTAAATTTCTACCTGATTTTTTAATTTAAGTGAAATTAAAAATTTGTTTAGCATATTGTAATTTAAGATGGAGAAATGATTTGTGTGACATTTTCAAAATTCCAAAATTTTGTAGAAAAGTAGGGGTCCTCACTTGGGACCAAATGTTTTCAAATTTCAAACTAAAAGGTGTACCATATACTTCATCAAAATTGCAAAGAGAGGGTCACTCAAACAAGGATAAAGCACTTAAAAAATATATAAATAGTAATAAAATAAGAATTCAAGGAATACACTTAAAAAATCTTTTGAAACAACACGTTTCCATCTTATGAATGCAAGATATCAAGAATTCTGATATATCACCCTTATTTGAATTTAAATCATAGGAAATGAATCTGAAAGAAAACCATAAACAACACTATAGGTTCCAGTCAAAAGCTCTATTTGCAACAACTGCTACAATAACTGGACCAGTCAAATCACCAACCGTACAACCTGGAAAAATACCAATACAATTCATAAAACAAATAAAATTAGTTCGATAAAAAATAACCAATAACAATTAAACTAATTGATAATTTATAAGTAATGATTGATAATTGATAAATTAAGAGATAATATATAGTTGATGACTGATAGCTAATTTATAGGATAATATTTGATTGATTTATTGATAATCTTACCAATCCATTGACCAACCGAAGGACGACAAAGAGTAGCACCAATTCCTCCACCAATAGCTGCAAAAACTAGAGATGCATTGCACTTAAGTGTAGCTATGTAAATTTTCTCTTTGAAAATTTTGTTTCTTTCAGCTTTGTTAATGCTACCATCATCATTTCTTGACTTTGTTTTAAAGAATTGAAATACTCTGACCCCTACTTGAACAATCCATGATGCTGCAACACCAATAGTGTGTCCTATACACAAACATTAGCATGAAAAAAGTTATACGCAAAAAAAATCAATCAACATTGTACTAATGAAAATATTATAAAAGATTCATTTCTTTGACCTCTAAGAGTTGCTTTGCTCACAGAAAGCATGTAAACATAAGTTGGCATTCCCCGTCCCGCCTTTCGAACAGCCGATGCAGGAACATCTGTTCAAGAGAGAAGAGATTGACGCGTAAATCGAATGATGAAAAATTGATGTCATAGAAATTTTGTTTTTATATGTATTAAGGATAAAAAAATTGAAGACCTTTTAGAAGTCTCCATGCCATTTTTTTTGAAGCATAATGGAAGGCAAGTCTTTCTAAAATGCGTCTAGTTGTCACAACCGTAACCTATGATGAATTTGAAACAAAAATCAGTTGAACAATGTTATAATGAATACTACATATGTTCAGAGCCGTTTTGAGGGTGTGAAATATAGACTATCCCACATATCACCCAAAATTTGTCACAGTTAAACCAATCATGATTGTCAAAATCTCGATCTAGATCTTAAAATATTAAGATTTTATGATCTCACTCATCCCCAATGATCCGGATCTTATGTAGAATCGTGTGGTTGTAGTCAAACTGTTTAAAAACATTGTAAAATCATTGATTTTGTGCGATCTTTGCCAGTTTCGGCCATGATTGACCGTTTTCTGACCACCGCCATTAAAAGGTGAGAAGGATGAAAAGATACAGAGGCACAACAATTACGGTTCGACAAGGATGAATTTACACCTTTTGAAATGAAGTTTTAGATTTAGGGTTTAGAGAATAAACTACTCACTTGTAAGGTTGTTTTAACTACATGACTTATGCTAATCCTAGTAATTGACCATATATGTCCCTAATGTCTAAACATTAACAAATGCTCAATAAAACCTCAATCATAAATGTCTAAAGAATATGAAAAATAATCATTTTCTCACAAATACACTTGCCTACTTACATATATCATGCAAAAATACTTCAAATATATACTATTATTGTTTCATTTTAGTAGGATCTTACGATTTTTGTTGCAATCTTATGTCTTACAATCTTGTTACCTCCTCTCGATCTTACAAAGATAATTGAGTAGAATCTTCTAATCTTAACTACGATTTTATATTTTACGATCTTGCTATTCTCTCTCGATCTTAGGTAAGATCTCGATCTTGACAATCATTTTTAATAAGATTTTTAATTATTTTGTTATGGTTGAATTGTAACTAATTTATGTTTGACCTCAAGACGACTCTACAAATGTCTTAAATTAAATAAGTCTCACCTCACGGACGATTTGCAATAGTGATTTTTTGAAAGGAACAATCAATTTGCTATGAAGTTCATCATGTTTGTCTTGCATAAAGTTATCATAATCTTGTTCCATATTTGCATGCGGTTCCAAAAGAGGCAAATAGAACATTAAGAATGACCTAAATGAGATCATTGCAAATGACTTCAATTCAAAAGCAGACCACAATGGCTTAAGTTCAAAATTATGACCCTTTGGGCTATACTTTAGAGAGTCATAATAGAAATATTTCTCCTGTGAAGTTCGAATGCCGGAAAGGTAATCGTCCGAAACTGCCAACACTCCAGCATCAGAATAAGCGATTGGTGTCCTGAAACTAAAGTTATGTGATTTGATGAGTAATGATGCAAACATTTTCTTTTAAATTATTCTTTATATACCATCGATCCGTCTGAACAAGGACGTGTCAGATGTCTGATACGACATTGACACATGTTATTGATGTATCATTGTGGATGTCTAATACAACATTGACACATTACCACATGTCATTAATGTATCATTGTCAGTGTGTCGTATCTGATGTATGTGTTTGTGTTCCATCTGATATTCTTATCTTTAGATCCAAATTAAGAAATAGTTGTTAATATTACATGCAAACATAGTAGTGATTATTATAAATTATTTCTACTATAAAAAAG